CTACCCATGCATATGCCTTTGACGGAATCGAACCTTGGAACCTTCGGTCTGCAGGCCAACGCTCTTACACTCAGCCACACCGGCATGCGGAGCGTGTGCTTTTTATAGGACATTCAGTAGACCTCGGAATCTTCACCAGGAGAGGTTGCAATAAGCAACCAGTGTGCTATTGCATTTAGATGGCTTAGAGCAGTGGTTCTCAACCTTCCTAATGCCGCGACCCTTTAAGACAGTTCCTCATGTTGTGGTGACCCCCAATGTCATTGTTACAAATTAAACATAATTAAAGCATAGTGATTAATCACAAAAACAATATGTAATTATATATGTGTTTTCCGATGGTCTTAGGCAGGGGTCCTCAAACTTTTTAATCAGGGGGCCAGTTCACTGTCCCTCAGACCGTTGGGGGGCCGGACTATAGTTTAAAAAAAAAACTATGAACAAATTCCTATGCACACTGCACATATCTTATTTTGAAGTAAAAAAACAAAACGGGAACAAATACAATATTTGTATTTGCATGTGGCCTGCGGGCCATAGTTTGAGGACCCCTGGTCCTAGGCGACCCCTGTAAAAGGGTGGTTCAACCCCCTAAAGGGTTGAGACCCACAGGTTGAGAACCTCTGGCTTAGAGCAACAGCGAACATGCTATGTTGTCTGGTTTGATGTGCTTCTAGGCTTTCATTGCGAACATCCACATTTTGTTTTTATAGCTATTCCCCTTGACTTTGACGTTAGTTCACCACTGACATATGGCACCCCCAGCTCTCGAGTGGAGGGAACCCCAAGGAGTGGTGTGAGGGGCACACCCCTGAGGCAGAGGCCCGACCTGGGGTCTGCTCGGAAGGGACTGCAGGTGGATTTGCATTCCGATGGGGTGAGTACACAGCACAGTCTTCTGGTAGCTTGGTTTGGGGGCATAACGTGGTTCATTAACGTGCTTCTGTCGTATTTTTCTGTGTAGCCAGCAGCAGAAGATGTAGTAGCAAGTGAGCAGTCTCTAGGCCAAAAACTTGTGATTTGGGGAACAGATGTAAATGTGGCAACATGCAAAGAAAATTTTCAGGTGAGCTATGTGTTCAAATTCATACTCTTAAGGCTGAAAATGCTGGGGGAAAGTGTTAATGACCTATATTTAAATAGCCATATACCTAGTGGTAGATTTTTTAAATATATTTTTATTAATTTCGGAGAAAAGGGGAGAGGGCGAGAATCATGGATCAGCTGCCCCCTGCCCGCCTGCCCCTCCCCCCACTGGGGATTGAGCCATGAACTTCTGGTTCACCAGTCGATGCTCAACCACTGAGCCACTGGTGCCAGGCCCTACTGGTAGATTTTTATGCAGCTTAGAATTGTTGCTATTTTCTTGCTTTGTAATATTGACATACTCATAACTTTGTATTTTGAATACTTGCTTATTCCTCAGTGCATTAAACTTAATATTTTTCTCCCCACATCAAGAGATTTCTTCAGCGTTTTATTGACCCTCTGGCTAAAGAAGAAGAAAATGTTGGTATTGATATTACTGAACCTCTGTACATGCAACGACTTGGGGAGGTAATTATATATTCTTACTTACAAATTCAAATTATGCATTTCAAAACAATCAGACTATAACTTGTTCATTTGATCTTGTAGATTAATGTTATTGGGGAGCCATTTTTAAATGTAAACTGTGAACACATAAAATCATTTGACAAAAATCTATACAGACAGCTCATCTGCTACCCACAGGTAAGAATTTGTCTTTGACATTGATGAATTCCATAAATATCTAGAATATCTTAAGAGTTTCTGAATAGCAGAATTTCCTCGGTGGTAACAGATAGAATATGCCTGCAAGGCAAAAGAACTTGCCTTAGAAAGCCATGTTTAATCTCCTTTAAGATAAGCCCTTTTCACACTTTAACATTTCTGAAATTGGGATGTGTGTTACTGTCAGTGACGCATTATCGTTTAATTGGTACTATGTCAACTATATTGATTGTAGTTATAGACTTTGGAGGCAAGCAGACTCAGTTTTAAATATTGATGTTTTCTGCTTAATAGCTATGTAACCTGGCTCAAGTTGCTTAGCTCCCCGGCCCCAAAAGGCTATTTCCTCATCTACAGAATGGGGAACAAGTGTTGACAAATTTGAATAAAATAATTATGGTTTAATTTATTGGTATTATTTCACTGTGAATAAAGTAAAACATAAAAGTATGTGCTCAAAATTTATTTTGTTACTGATTAAGAGCCTAAAATATGCCAGTATATACTGAAGGCACTATTTATATATAACCACATTTAATCCCAATGAGAGCTTGCGGACGTAAGATAATTGAGTGAACCCACGATTTATAAATGGTATGTGTGTGACTAAAATAATGCTTTTGGATTATGCCATGTGTTTTTGCTTTCACCCTTTGCTAATATGAAATGCTTTATGTGTAACCGTAAGATGGAAATGCAAACACAGCTTGGTGTCCTCTCATTTTTTATAGGAGGTTATCCCAACTTTTGATATGGCTGTCAATGAGATCTTTTTTGACCGTTTTCCTGACTCAATCTTAGAACATCAGATTCAAGTAAGACCATTCAATGCATTGAAGACTAAAAATATGAGGAACCTGAATCCAGAAGGTAATTTTTTTAATTGATTTTAGAGAAAGAGCGAAAAATGTTATTTATGCATTTATTGAATGACTTTTGTATGCTCTAACTGGAGATGGAACCCGCAACCTTAGTGTATCAGGACAATACTCTAACCAACTGAGCTTCCCAGCCAGGGCCAGAAAGTAATATTTTTAATAGGAAAATACCTTACATGAAAATAAGCAAAACCTTATTTTATCAAGGAACTTTATTTTTTTTAATATATTGATTTTTTACAGAGAGGAAGGGTGAGGGATAGGGAGTTAGAAACATCGATGAGAGAGAAACATCGATCAGCTGCCTCCTGCACACAACCCACTGGGGATGTGCCCGCAACCAAGGTACATGCTCCTGACTGGAATTGAACCTTGGACCCTTGAGTCCACAGGTCGAAGCTCTATCCACCGAGCCAAACCAGTCAGGGCAAGGAACTTTAAAATAATTGGAGGTGGTAGGTTGCAAATTGATAAAATAGTATCAGATTCAGCTAACCTGTATGATTATGAACTCATCAAGCCTTTTTTAACTTAACAGAAATTATATAAAAGAGTATATAACTGTTCTCTATCTTAAGGTGAACTTACCCAAATACTATAATTTTACACTTTCTCAGAATCACTATAGAAAACAAGTACAAATATGATCTCTGCCCTAGAGCTTAAAAAATAAATCTAGTTGGGAAAGTAAATGAAAAAAGGGGTAGAATAACTGAAGAACAGTGCGGGAGATGCCTCACCCAGGGAGAGAAGGAAAGCACTGGGCTCAAGTGGGAAGAACTCATGGTGAAATAGAAATTGGGATTATAGCAAGGATTTGGAAAGCAGACATGAAGGAATTCTCTCTAGACAGCAGAATGTAGCCAGACACAGGGAAGCAAAACAGAGCTATGTGTGCACAGTGAGTGATGGCTGAAGCAGGGAGTTTGGCTCGCAATGTTTGCATGGAGGTTGGAAAGCTTAGGTCCTAAAGAGCTTTGAATTCCAACTTAACTGAGATTTTTATTCCAAAGTCTATAGGGAGCCATTAAAGAGAAAGATTGACCACTCTTGAGAAGTTCATGGGCGGTCCAGTGTGCAAAGTATGTTGAGGTTCAATTGGGAGACTAACAATAGCTCAAATATAGGGCAACAGGATCCTAAGCTGGACGGTGGCCATCAGAGTAAAAAAAAAACAGGACAGCCCTGACTGGTTTGGCTCAGTGGATAGAGCGTCGGCCTGTGGACTCAAGGGTCCCAGGTTCGATTCCGGTCAAGGGCATGTGCCTTGGTTGCGGGCACATCACCAGTGGGGGGCGTGCAGGAGGCAGCTGATCGATGTTTCTCACTCGTCGATGTTTCTAGCTCTCTATCTCTCTCTCTTCCTCTCTGTAAAAAATCAATAAAATATATATTTAAAAAAAAAAAAAAGATTGAGGTATAAAAGCTATTGGCAGTTAATGAACACTGCTTTAGGTAAAAGTATAAAAGACATAAATTTCAGTCAAAGAAAATAAGACAGCCAATAAACATGAGCAAGTGTTGGACTTCACTATTTATTGAAGAATTGTAATTTTTTTATTTTATTTTTTCATTTATGAAATCAGCACCTGGAATCATCTCTGATAGGAATTCTGGTGGGGACATTGGAAGTGCTTAAAGGATAGGACAATCTATAAGGCCAGCAATAGCTGGCTACGCTGTCTTGTTGACTAGAAATGACAGCGTAACACGTTTAGAACCAGCAGTGGGAATTAGTTGAGGGAAAAGTTGTTGGGGAAGGTCCAAATTGTAGAGTGGGAAGTAGTCTCTAGGGGGCCTTATATGATGAAGATTGGCTAAGTTATATAGTGCTTATCTCTGTCAGGTACTGTTCCTTCAGCTTGTATTGTATAAACTGACTCTTAATCCTCAACAACTCTGAGGTATATGTGTCCCCAAGGTCCAGGCCGGGTGGCTCTAGAGTCCATGCTTTGTGCATACACTGGGACAGCAGGACTTCCATGTGGCACAGTGAGTGAGGTGGAAGGCCATGGGACAAAATAGGCAAAAGCATAGAGTTTCTCATCTGAAACTGGAAAGTGGAGCCAGACAGGAGGCAGCTGAGAAAAAAAGGTGGTAAGATGCCTGTTGGATAGGGGACTCAGGAAGAAAGAGCCAGAGGTTCGTTGGAGTTGAGAGGAAGGCAGACTGGACACAGGAAGGGCATTCTAGGCCAGACCTGAAGGTAGCCAATGAGATGTTCATGCCCTGGCCACAGTGCCTACCTGTTACCCCCACCATCACCAGGTACCTCTGTGCCTCCAGGTATGATTCTTCTGTGCTTGACAGCAGACCCAGACCTGCCTTGGCAGGAATCCAGCCCAGGGAGATACCACAGCTGACGGAGCTAAGGGCAGTGGCTTATGGGCAAGCTGACCTCTCTCTTCTTGCAGACATCGACCAACTCATCGCCATCAGTGGCATGGTAATCAGAACATCCCAGCTCATTCCAGAGATGCAGGAGGCCTTCTTCCAGTGTCAGGTGTGCGCCCACACAGCCCAGGTGGAGATGGACCGCGGCCGCATCGCCGAGCCCTGTGTATGTGAGCACTGCCACACCACCCACAGCATGGCACTGATCCACAACCGCTCTGTGTTTTCCGACAAGCAGATGGTACGTGGCCTTCCTGGGTGCGCTGGGTGGCCTCCCTTTGGCATGTTTGCCTTTTTGTTCTGGTTTGATCTGGATCCTCAACAAGCCTAAAAAAACTTCTCCACTTGTGAAGCCTTAAAACCCTGCTTCCTAAATGGTGTTCAGCTACTTCATTCCTTCTCTCTAACTGGACGATTTGTTACAGGGTTGTGGGCTGGATACTTGGGGCACGGTTAAGGCTTCTACTTTGTGATGCCAGTGTCCCTGCTTTATTGCCAGTGAGCACCAGTTCATTACATATTTCACATTCTCATGGCATAAAATACTTTATAAAAGGAGATAGAGTGCATTCTTCCACTATACACATCTTAAATTTAATGGTTGACAGATCAAATTAGTCTCTTTGATTTATTAAATATAACATGGGATGTTTCTGTGGGAATTATTAAAGATTATTTTAAAATTTTAGTGTTTTAAATAAGATTATATAAAATAAGATTAGTAAAAATTATTTGGTTAAAAACTCATTTTTGCAAGTGTTCCACTGGTTAAAAAAAAAATGGGTTGAGAAGTTTTTCTAAAGTTCTCACAGATTTTATTGTATAAGAAGTTTGACCTTTTACCTCTCTAATCATGAAATTTTTAAAGTGAAGTTCTTAAAATGACAGAAATAAGTGGGGGGAATGCAGAAAAATTATTGACTATTGTAATGGTGCAAAAGTATGCACAAGGACTTGTTAAGTTTTATTTTGTTGCAATGTTTAAATAATTTTAGTGTTAAGTAAGGAGAATGTGTTCAAAATACTACAAAAGGTAATTTCCCTTATTGGGAGTCCATAAGAAAAATATTAACAAATGTGAAAAATAATTACCAAATAATTGAAGATTAAGATGTAAATTGTATCTAATATTGGTACAAATTATTGGAGCAAAAGTACGTCAACTCTCGCCAGCATGGTGTTAAGAGCTGGAGATACAAAGGTGGAACTCCTGCTCCCAAAGAGCTTTAGTATGTATTTGTAGAATGCTTCAAAGACTCCCAAACAAACTTAGAATAAAACCTGTCTTTCAGAGAAGCATCAATCAGATGGACAAACATCAGAGGGAAGGTAGGGGAGGGTGGGGGTAAGGGGCAGAGATCAACCAAAGGACTTGTATACATGCATATAAGCGTAATCAGTGAACACAGGCGGGGGGGGGGAGGGGGATAAGGACACATATATAATACCTTAATCAATAAAGAAAAGAAAAGAAAAAAACCTAATGTCTTAAACTCATATCCAAGACTATATGGCCCATCATCAGCCACAACACACCTTTGTACCCACAGACCTCATCGATGACAGTGTCTCAACTATTCCTTTATACCTAGATCATCAATGAAGCTCAAGCCTGCTGTAAAACCTTTGCACTTGCTGCTCTTTTTTTTTTTTCTTTAACATGTTTTTATTGAATTTCGAGAAAGGAAAGAAGAGAGGGAAACATCAATCAGCTGCCTCCTGCACACCCCCTCCTGGGGATTGAGGCATACAAACTGGCGACCTCTAGTTGCATGGGACGAAGCTCAACAAACTGAGCCACAACTGCCATGGCTGAACTTGCTGTTCGTTACATTGAGAGCACATATTTCCTCCCTAATATCCTTAAACCTCTTCCAAGAGGTCGCCTGATTTGAGAAAGGCCTTTCCATCCAGGAAATCTAGAAGCAGCTTCTAAAAATAGAAATGTAGACAAACATTTATACAAAGATATACCCACTAAACCTTAAAATGGCAGAAAATAATCACCTAAATTGCTGCCTCCCTGTTCCCCCAAATAGGGGAATATTTAAGTAAATAACATTCTCACAAAAAGTGTTCATGTCACATTAAAAGCTTTGTTAAAAACCTAACTACCTAGAGAATAAAATAAAGAACAGTGTTTTAAAAAGTAAAGATGCTGGGGATCGAACGAACTTCTGTCTTAAGTAGTACAAAGACTTGCTGTTCTCGTTATGCTTTCTTCATTTGCTGACTCTGTATTCACTGCTCTCTTCAGATCAAGCTTCAAGAGTCTCCCGAAGACATGCCTGCAGGCCAGACTCCTCACACTGTCATCCTTTTTGCTCACAATGATCTTGTTGACAAGGTTCAACCTGGGGACAGAGTGAACGTTACAGGTAGGAATGTAGGTTGTATTAATGCAATAAGCCTGTCTTGGCTTTTTTTTCTTTTTCCATTGACTTATTTGTTGTTTTTTGTTAATCCTCGCCTGGGGATATTTTTTTCATTGTTTTTTAGAAGGAGAGAGAGTGGGAGGGAGGGAAAGGGGAGAGAGAGAAAAACATCAATGTGAGCGAGAGACATCCATTAGTTGCCTCCTGCACTCTCCCTTAACGGGGCGGGGCACTACCCAGGTACATGCCATTGGCCATTGACCAGGAATCGAACCCGAGACCCCTTTGGTTCGACAGCTGATGCTCTAATCACTTAGCCACGCCAGCCAGGGCTCAATTGATTTGTTTTTAGAAAGAGAGGGAAAGAGAAACATCATTGATTGGCTGCCTCCTGCACAGATCAAGTCTCCAACCTGGGCATATGCTTTTAGGGGGAATTAAACCAGCAATCTTTTGGTGCACAGGACGACGCCCAGCCAGCTGAACCACTCTGCCAGGGCTGTCTTACTTTTAACCACACTTTTGAGTCAGTCCTTTGACTTGGTCATGAATTGGCATGGGGCTTGGTCCTGCCTCCAGCTGTCATTCAGATCTTGAGATGGGTGTACTGCTTTAGTCACTTTCTTCTTAACCCGGCAGGACAGAACCTATCAGTGCATTGTCCTTACAGTCACTTGCTTCCTGCTGTTGCAGTAACCCAGAGCTATGCAAGTATCTTGAATGATAGTGTTGGCATCTTGAGAAAACAACTTCAGACACTGGCAAGATTTGAGCTATGCCAGCAGCTCCAGGAAGTAGGTCTCACCAACTCTGGAATTTTAAATAATTCTACTTATTTCCTAAATGCGAAGATAAGGGTTAAAATTTATTATAGAAAAGAAAATGGATCAGAGCACCCTGCTTCCATTCTGGGAGTTACATTATGGTATTTTTAGAGATGGGGAACCTGAGACTCAGAGAAGTATTGATCAGTGTAGCTAAAATCCTAAGTAATTTGTGATACGAGGACTCATGCTCTATTACTGCCAAGAGAGTACTCCACTGCACAAAATGAATATGTCAGTTTCTTTTCATGCTTCATAGCAGTGTGGGCACTTGGCTTCTTGGGGGTGGGAGGTATTTGTGTTATGGCAGGCGTAGTTCTTGAATGAAGGCAGTGTGGAAATTGCGTCCAAGGAGCAGCGAAGGGTCCTGGGCAGTCAGTCTATCTGTTCCATTCAGTGAGTCTGGACTTCTCATCCTGTGTCTTCCCCAGCAATCTTAAGTTTGTAAAGTACCTGTAGTCTTAAGTTTGTAAAGTACGTGTAGTGTTAAAAATTGAAAGAATGTGTCATCTTTAGTGAAAAGGATTGGTAATCCTAGTTCTGCCCCCCTACCGCTCTGAAACCCTTGATGTTATATTTTATTAAGATACTTTTATGTTAATAAGAGTATATTAAGTACTTTATCAAGTATTTAATCAAATATGTTTTTAATATGTTTTTATTGATTTCAGAGAGGAAGGGAGAGGGAAAGAGAGATAGAAACATCAGTGATAAGAGAGAATCATTGATTGGCTGTCTCCTGCATGCCCCCTACTGGGGAACAAGCCCACAACCCGGGCATGTGCGCTGATAGGAATCGAACCAAGACCTCCTGGTTCATAGGTTGATGCTCAACCACTGAGCAACACCAGCCGAGCTCCAGTATTTTAAATTGGAAATTGGAATTAATGTGATGATACACGTTAAAGTATTGGAGGAGGGGGCTGTGGAAAATGCTGTTGACATGTCAAATAAGTATTATCATTGCTGTTCTGTGAAGATGAATCATTATAGACATCAATAAAGATAACTGAATTGCTTTAAACATAGTAAACATAAACATAATAAATATAGTCATCCATCCCTAATCTATCTTCGTGTGAAAAGTAGTGTGTATTCTAAGACTGTTACATATAAACTGATTTTTATGTTAAAAGAATAACATTGACCTGTTAAATAAACAAAGGACAGGTGATCTTTGTTGTGAAAGCTGTGAGGGAGAGATTAGATATTTTCTCCTCAAAAAGCAGCAAGAAAGTAAGTTGTCCTGGAGTTCAAGGATTTTAGTTTGAAATTTTAAAAAGATAAACATCAGATTTGGGAAATTTTTGTTCTTGGAGAATGAATGAACTAGTATGGTTGAAGAGTTGATTGTTCATCTACTTCTTTTAGTGTCCATAAGTTGTATTCTTTAGAAAGCAGGCTGGGGCACAACCATTCACCTAGAAATATGTCCTATTATGAACAAAATACAGTTATTTTTTCTAAATCGTATTTTCACATTTTACTCAGTAGATTGTCTTATTGTCTGAAATAATTTGTGGGTGATTTTTTTTTAAAATACATTTTATTGATCTTTTTTTTTACAGAGAGGAAGGGAGAAGGGATAGGGAGTTAGAAACATCAATGAGAGAGAAACATTGATCGGCTGCCTCCTGCACACTCCCTACTGGGTATGTGCCCGCAACCAAGGTACATGCCCCTGCCCGGAATCGAACCTGGGACCCTTGAGTCCGCAGGCTGACGCTCTATCCACTGAGCCAAACTGGTTAGGGCTTTGTGGGTGATTTTTAAGACTTGAACTTCCTTTCCAAATTTTTGGTACAGGATTTTAGTAGTATTTGGTTCTGTTCAAATAATTACTAAGCAGATTGTCCACTTAAGGGAAATGAAAATACTATTTATTGAACACAGCCGTGAGCCAAGCATTGTTCTAGAAACAAAGTAATTTCATTTAAACGTAAGAATGATTATATGTAGTGTAGTTATGCTCATATAGGTGCCCAAGGTCACAGAGCTAACAAGTGGTGACATATGAAACCCATTTTCAGAAACCTGTGTTCTTTCCAACGTGATCCTGTCCCCTTTGGCGGAGAGGTTTACAGTGTAATCTTGAACCTACACCCAGGGAGGCAGAGTGCTGGGAAGCTCACCTCTCTGGTGCTAGCTGTCTGCTCTCAGTGCTGCCCGTTGTCTGCACTGCTTACCTGAGCCCGGTAGTGGAAGGTAAAAGTATGTATGTCTCGTGGTTGTGCCCTCAGGCATCTATCGAGCTGTGCCTATTCGAGTCAATCCAAGAGTGAGTAATGTGAAGTCTGTCTACAAAACCCACATTGATGTCATTCATTATCGAAAAACTGATGCAAAACGTCTGCATGGCCTTGATGAAGAAGCAGAGCAGAAACTTTTTTCAGAAAAGCGTGTGGAATTGCTTAAGGAACTTTCCAGAAAACCAGACATTTATGAGAGACTTGCTTCAGCCTTGGCACCAAGCATTTATGAACATGAAGATATAAAGAAGGTAACAATGGAGTGTGTATATGTATGCATATATATATGTATAGATTGGTTAGTGATAACTTAAGGCAGTGTCACGTTCATTTTTCTATACCTTTATTTAAATTTCTTAGTTATAATCCATAGAGTAGAAAAGTACCTCTAACATTTAAACTATATCTCAGTTATTCTACAGTAAATGAATGTTGAGACGTGTTTTTGTTTAGGGGATCTTGCTTCAGCTCTTTGGTGGAACAAGAAAGGATTTTAGTCACACAGGAAGGGGCAAATTTCGTGCTGAGATCAACATTCTCCTGTGCGGTGATCCTGGAACCAGCAAGTCCCAGCTACTGCAGTATGTGTACAACCTGGTCCCCAGGGGCCAGTACACATCTGGAAAGGGTTCCAGTGCTGTCGGTCTCACTGCATACGTAATGAAAGACCCCGAGACAAGGCAGCTTGTGCTGCAGACTGGTGCCCTTGTCCTCAGTGATAACGGTATCTGCTGTATTGATGAGTTTGACAAGATGAATGAAAGTACAAGATCAGTATTGCATGAAGTCATGGAACAGCAGACCCTTTCCATTGCCAAGGTACGTCACATTCTCCACCCATAAATGTGGACACATTTGAAATCTGTAGGAAACTGGTAAATACTTTTAATATTAGATTGCAGCTAAATCTCTTGAGTATTTTTTACAGAATCCTCTTTATGAAATAATGTATTTTTGCTATGCTTACCCATTAATAATTTTGTCCTAAAGCTCATGCAAAGGATTTAGTTTTGGAGAAAGATGCAGTTGTAGCATATACAGTTACCTAAAGCTCAGTGCTTTACATGAATCCAAGGACAGGGTGTTGTCCCAAATGGGACCACTGAAGTCACCTTTACAAGGTGGCGTGGCTCTTGGTGACATTGGAGACATGGTAGAGGCCATGCCAGGAAAAGATGTCTTTCACAGTTCCAGCCATCATTCAGGTGAGACATCTAACTGCACTGTTTTCTCTGATAGGCTGGGATCATTTGTCAGCTTAATGCACGCACTTCTATCCTGGCAGCAGCAAATCCTATTGAGTCTCAATGGAATCCTAAAAAAACTACCATTGAAAATATCCAGCTACCTCACACGTTATTATCAAGGTATGAAAACATTTTTATTTAAGAGATGTTTGTTCTTTGCTTATTTGTAGAATTTTCAGGGTGGGATTAAGGAAAGGAAATACTAATATTCAACAACTGCTAATATCACAAACTCTTGAATGCAAAAATTTTCAAATTTGGTTGGTGAAGGGTTTTCATTGCAAGGACTGTGTGTTTCTTTACTCAGCTATGGGCAGCACCTTAATATTCATTTGTTTTTTGAAGCAATTAGGACATTTCACCTTGGCATCTATTTCAGAAGCCCTTCACCCACTACTCTTACCTCATTCCTAAAGCCACTATTGAGAATCAACCACTATACTCTGTTCTACAGAGAATAGCTTCACGTAGTAGATAACTTTCTGAAAAGTTAAATTTTTGAAAGCATAATCATAATTCCCACTTTTGCTCAATCCACTACTACAAATATTCATGTGTTTCATAAAATTGTTTTGCATTTTAATTGACTTTTTAACCAAATAGTTATTTTTTCTCTAAGCAGTTGAATGTGGTTTTTTTGTGTGTGTTTTTTTTAATATATTTTATTGATTTTTTACAGAGAAGAGGGGTGAGGGACAGAGAGTTAGAAACATCGATTTGAGAGAAACATCGATCAGCTGCCTCCTGCACACTCCCGACTGGGGATGTGCCCGCAACCAAGGTACATGCCCTTGACCGGAATCGAACCTGGGATCCTTGGGTCCGCAGGCCGATGCTCTATCCGCTGAGCCAAACCGGTCAGGGCATGAATGTGTTTTTATTTGTATATTCCAGTCTTTAAAATTATAGTAACATTTCCCTCGGGGAAATCTTTAATTCTTTGAATCAGCTGTTTCTGGCCAGGCGAACAGTCACTTGGGTGGGAACAGAGCAGGGTGAATTGGATTGATCTGAAGGCTCAGTAGGCGACCTGGATAGAAGGGGTTTGGGGAGAATCCTCAGACGCCTGAGTAAATGCCATGTTCACTGTACATGCCTAGGTAGCCCAAGAGCAATTTTTAAATTATGCTTGTAGATATGTTGGTGTCCCGACTATGAACACGTTGCTTTTACAATATTTTCTCAGGTTTGATTTGATCTTCCTCATGCTGGACCCTCAGGATGAAGCCTACGACAGGCGTCTGGCTCACCACCTTGTCGCTCTCTACTACCAGAGCGAGGAGCAAATGGAGGAGGAGTTCATGGACATGGCAGTGCTAAAGGATTACATTGCTTACGCTCACAGCATGGTCATGCCTCGGCTGAGCCAGGAAGCCAGCCAAGCTCTCATCGAGGTAACACATGTTCATGTTTAAAGCCTGAAAAAATGTCTCTCTACAACTATTTTTTTTCTCCTTTGTTGCAAAATGATTTTTCCAAATGTAAAAAGGGAGAAAGGGTTAATTTATATAGGTTGTACACACACGTTTTACATTTAAATACTAAGTATAGTGGATTTAAGATCAGAATATAGGAGTTGAAGTATATGTCATTCTACTTAGTGACTTTGTAACTCTGGACAAGTAATCCAGTTTCTCTGAGCTTCCATTTTCTTATTTCTAAAAAATAAAATATTTTATGTTCACTTTTCAGTATTGCTTACATAGGCAGCAGTGCATGATGACACATTAGGTTATTCAAATATTGTCATAGGAAGAGGATTTTTATGGGCTTTGCATCCTAATGAAGCTCCCCAAATACTCAAAAGTTGAAGATAATATTAATTTTCCATTTGTATTATTCTTGTTTGTTTGTTTGTTGTTGTTGTTGTTAATCCTCACCTGAGGATATTTTTCCATTGATTTTTAGAGAGAGTGGAAAGGAAGGGGAGAGACGGACACATCAATTGGTTGCCTCTTGCATGCTCCCTGACCAGGGCTGGGCATCAAGCCGCAGCCGGTACATGCCCTTGACTAGAATCGAATCTGGGACCCTTCAGTCCGTAGGCTGATGCTCTATCCCCTAAGACAGACCAGGTAGGGCCCGTTCGTATTATTCTTGAGAGTTGCTCAAAAAGAAATAAAATTATGTCATCTATATATAAGTTTAATACAACTTACCTTTGTAGCATTATCCCAGTAACCTTTTGTGTGCCTTATTAAATGGGTCCTCAGCAAGGATATAAATTGGAGTCGGTGCCTGAGGAGCTTTTACAGATAGGCATCCTGATTGTCTTCTGCTCTGACTGCAGCCTGCCCCTTAGTCCTTTGAGTACTGGGCCTGTACTTTCACTCCCATTCTCCAAAATCACATCCGATACCACCTTCTTGTGCTTGGAGGCACAAAGCTTGATCTCATTTTCATTCCCCTCAATACCTGCACACGGCAGCCTGGCAGTAGTTTTGTTTATTTAATAGAACCCTAAATGTTTAAAGCTCAACCACGAAACTAAGGTTATTGTTAACAAGGAATTTGGGCATTTTTTTCTGTCTACCCTAGGCTTATGTAGACATGAGGAAGATTGGGAGTAGCCGAGGAATGGTCTCTGCATACCCTCGACAGCTGGAATCTTTGATTCGCTTAGCAGAAGCCCATGCTAAAGTACGGTTTTCAAACAAAGTTGAAGCAATTGATGTGGAAGAGGCAAAGCGCCTGCATCGCGAGGCTCTAAAGCAGTCTGCCACTGACCCCCGGACCGGCATTGTGGACATATCTATTCTTACTACAGGTTCGTTATTTGCATTAAACATAAAAGCACATGAAAATTATGTAATTGATATTAAACGTAATTGATATTGTTTTACCATTCAGCCACTAACCTTAATGGAAATTTGAGACATTTCACTTTCTAATAGAAGAAATATTTTCATTAATTTTTTTAAAATTAGGAATGAGTGCCACTTCTCGTAAACGGAAAGAAGAGTTAGCTGAAGCATTGAGAAAACTTATTTTATCTAAAGGGAAAACACCAGCTCTAAAATACCAGCAACTTTTTGAAGATATTCGAGGACAATCTGACATAGTAAGTGTTCCTATGTATTTTATGTGTAATAGAGTTTTTTATCTTATTATTGACTTTCAGTTCTTTTCCTCATTTTTTCCTTCATTTATTAAGTAGTAAATGTTAAGGATAATGGAGAAAAGTAATATCACCCATAAACCCATCATCAAGAAATAATCACAATTAAAATTTTATTTGCTGCTTTTATAATTTTTCCATGTGTATATATTCACATGTGGTCTTTTTTAAAAATGAACATAGTTGATTATATTTATGCTGCTTTGTAACTTGCTGTTTCTTTTTAATTAACAAATTAATATTAACACCATCTGTGAAAGCAAATAGATTTCATAATATTAATCATACTGGTTGGTATCATTCTTTTGCATGCACATTTCATCATTTACTTAATCAGTTGTTGCACAGTCAGGATGTTTGCAGTTTTTTGCTATTTTAAGTAGTAATAACTATCAAATTTATTTTGAGTTGTTTAGTGAAAAAAACTCTGATGGCCAAAACCAGCCTTTGCCTGCTATAATAATACCCCCCTTGACTTATGTATTTATTATCTGTGGCTGCACTGCTAGTTGGGGGCACAGTTGAGTAGTTAATGACAGATGCCAAGCTCTATAACAGGTAAAGGAGTACTTGATGTGTATAAAATATTTGTTTCTCTCCTTTTTCCCAAAGGCAATTACCAAAGATATGTTTGAAGAAGCATTGCGTGCCTTGGCTGATGATGACTTCTTGACAGTAACTGGAAAAACTGTTCGCTTGCTCTGAAGTCTTTGTGAGCAGTGCTGTGTGTTCTGCTTGTCTGCACTTGCTTGCATATGTGTGTGGCATATGGGCCAGTCAACTGCCACTGCTGCCATTACTGCAAATAGACTCTTAAAGTCATTATTTGGCTCCATAACATTTTTCTAACCTGGGTTCAATTTTTGTAGAGAAATGTGTTTTCATTTTTTCTAACACTTTTAAGTGAAAAATACTATGCCAGGTTGCAATAGAGATTATTTACTTAAACTGCCGTCTTTTAAAGATGGCAGTCTGGGTCATGGTTTTGATGCTAGACATTGTAAAAGGCAGTCATCCACATGCTTAAGGTTTTTATAGTATGAGATAAGATTTAGCCAGGGCATATCATTCTGAGTGAGGTAATAAAAGATCAGAGCCTTGCCCTAGCCGGTTTGGCTCAGTGGATGGAGCGTCGGCCTGCGGACTGGGGGATCCCAGGTTCGATTCCGGTCAGGGGCATGTACCTTGGTTGTGGGCACATACCCAGTGGGGAGTGTGCAGGAGGTGCTGATCGATGTTTCTTTCTCATTGCTGTTTCTAACTCCCTATCCCTCTCCCTTCCTCTCTAAGAAATCAATAAAATATATTTTTAAAAAAAGAAAAAAGAATTAGGTTCTTGGTTAACTTCTTTACTACTTTATCCTAATGTGTAAAACTTTATCCTAAATAAATGATAGACTTAAGTAATAACTGTTTATCTGGCATTATTTTTAACTAAGAAAAAAGGCTTTAATAAATACTACATTCAGCCCAGCTGGCGTGGCTCAGTGGTTGAGCGTCAGCCTATGAACCAGGAGGTCATGGTTTGATTCCTGGTCAGGACACATGCCTGGAATGAGGGCTCGATCCCCAGTGTGGGGCATGCAAGAGGCAGCCAATCAATGATTCTCATCATTGATGTTTCTATCTCTCCCTCTCTCTTCCTCTCTGAAATCAATAATATATATATATATGTATGTATGTATAAATAAATACTACATTCATGAAAATTTATGATCGTAAGTACTTTATAAATCGTCAAAGAAACTAATATAAATTTTACTCAAAAATTAATCAATTCCAGCAGTCATTAGTCTTATAAAACCATCATAATCTGAAATCTTACATGGAAATACTGCTATAATGAATAATCCCTGAAACATTTAAGACATTTTATGAGTTAGGCCTATTTAAGTAGACTCAAAATTCCTTAATAAGCTATTCATAGAAATGATATCTAATTGAATATTTAAACAGCATTAAAATGTTAATATTGGAATGAGAGAGCTCATCTGACCAAACTTTCATTTTTATGAATCATCATTCTTTGCTGTCCTTGATAGGTTTGTAAAAACATCTTATAGTTTGAAGGAGGCAATAGTTAGGTTGGTGTATCACCAAAGGATGCAAGGCAGACAGCCCACCAAGTGGCTTTATCAAGGAGATTTCCTCAGTGAACTCACTGATAGGAGATGCTTTTACACATAATCCTCAGCCACTCTGTAGGACCAATTCTCTCTTTTTAGATGGAGGAGGCAAGAAGTTTCATCTCTTGCCTGAAGACCCAAGAGCAAGAGAGAAAGCTGGAATTAAACCAGTTGTGTCTTCTGACTTTAGAACAACCATGCTGTGCTCAGGCTACAACTCAGGTTTTAAACTGTTCATTCTTTTGGACACACTGTTTACACTTCCAAAATCATGCAAAGAAGGTTCCCTGGTACTTGTTACATGGTGGGTATTTTATAAATGATCCATTGAGTAGAGAAGTCTTAATTTGTTGAACTGTGTTTTTGTGACCACATGGTTTTCAGACATGAAATGTTTTATTCACATCTGTAATACTCAACAGTATAGATTTAAAGAAAAAACAAAAACCACTGCCTTGGACTAGAGCAGTGGTCGGCAAACTCAGCCAACAGAGCCGAATATCAACAGTACTTCAAAATAGACTCGCCCAGGCCGAAAACTGACTTCTGCGCATGGGCCACGAAGTTTCAATCGCACTACATGCGCGCCCGCACGTGGTATTTTGTGGAAGAACCTCACTGAAGGGGCCAAAGAGCCGCATGTGGCTCGCGAGCCCCAGTTTGCTGACCACTGGACTAGAGCATCTTCCCCACTTGTACAAGGTGGCATATGTTGTGAAGAGTATAGGTGTGGGCTGCCCAGGTTCAAATCATGGCTCACCATTTATTCTCAGCATGCAATGCTTTTTTAAAAAAATTTCTTTATTGATTTCAGAGAGGAAGGGAGAAAGAGAGATAGAAATATCAATTATGAAAGGATCATTGATTGGCTGCCTCCTGCACACCCCCTACTGGGGATCGAGCCTGCAACCCAGGCATGTGCCCTTGGCCAGAATCAAACCTGGGACTCTTCAGTCTGCAGGCTAATACTCTATCCACTGAGCCAAGCCAGCTAGGGCAGCATGCAATGCTTATTGATAAGTGCTCAATGTTGTTACTATTAACAAAGAGAATAGGTAGGACAATATAATTTCAGCTTAATTCCTATGAATATAGTTTTTAAAACACTGTAATGTAATTCCATTTGAACTTTTCTCTCTGACACTGACCCTGAAAGATACTCAGAGTTGCTAATTAGAGTGACTTTATTTGATTTATATAAATATCCACGTGCCATTCTCCTTCCAGCATCCATCATAAATGTAACCAACTTCATGCAAAGGAGTAAAAAATTATCTAGAATGAAGAAATGGAGAACTTAATAACCCTTAGCACACAGGTTAGGAAATACTAACTTAAAGACAGTCCTGTTACTTATTAAATCTAAGGCAATTTCTTAAAATACCACTGTTATTCAATTTTTAAACTTTTTGAAATAAATTTTAAACTTACAAGAAAAGTTAAAATGTTTTTTTAATCATTTGAGAGTAAGTTAAGATGCCCCATTACTGCTAAGTACTTCCCAAAAACTGTATATCCTAAAAACAACACACAACCATAACAAGTTCATCACATAATTAAAAAATTCAATGTACATTCAATTGTCTCAATAATGTTCTTTAGCAAAAATAAAAATACATATTTTTCTGTTTCAGGATCACAGGTTGCATTTAGTTTTCATGTCCTTATTCTCCTTCAATCTGGAACATTCCTCAGTCTTTTCTCATCTTTTCATGACCTTAACATTTTTAAAGGCCAGTAGGTTTTTGTGAACTGTCCCTGATTTAGATTTGTCTGATGTCTCTATGATTAGGTTCTGGATATCTGTTTTTGGCAAGAACACCACAGAAGTGATGTGTCCTCGTGCATCATTATATCAGGAGGGTCAGTACACCTGAACTTTTACTGGGAAGTTTAACCTTGATCATCTGAGTTAAGTGGTATTTGTCAGGGTTCTTGTTTGTTTTGGTTTTTTGTTTTGTTTTGTTTTGCTTTTGGGTGGGGAGGCGGGGGGGAGAGGGTGCTTGGCACCAGAAGCAAGAGCCCGTCAGGGCTTAAAATATTTTTATTGATTCTAGAGAGAGGAAAGGAGAGGGATAGAGAGACACATTGATGAGAGAAACACATTGATCGGCTGCCTCCTGCACACCCTGAACTGGGGATCAAGCTCAAAACGTGGGCATGTTTCCTGAACAGGAATTGAACCCAGGACCTCTTGGTACATGGTTCAGTTCTCAACTACTGAGCCACACTGGCCGGGCAGGTTTCTTAATTTTAAATTACTATTTACTATTTTTTCTTTTGTAGTTTTAAGTATCTTGTGGGGAGATAATCTGGGGCTATGTAAATATTCTATTTCTCATCAAATAAGTGATTTGCACACACAATTTCCTTTATGCCTAAACACTAGAATTGGTCTTTTTGTTGTTAAAAACATCAGCTTTTTTTTTTTTTTTTGGTTTGCAACCCATAAGCAGCACACTTCAGCCCCCTACCCAATGTCCCTAGAAATTTTTTCAGACTCTGCAAATCTCATAAAATTAAAATGTACATAGGAAATCATGCCTCAAAGGCCCAAAACAGCCCTCATTAATACTCCTACAGATATATAATTAATAGGAAGACAACTTGCAAGTACTTACAGAAATGGGAAGATTTAACTAGAACTGATAGCAACTTTAGATGGCCAAGATAGAGCTCTATCGACACCTAACTTAATTTTTAGCATTCGCAATTGGAAAATGCCAACTCTAAAATTAAACTGAATAAATGGGAAGCTTCTTTCTACGAGAAGTTAATAACATTGAGAGCCTGTCTGAACTAAGGAAGACTTCTGAAGCCGCTCAATGCCAATGCCCCACTTGTCCTCCTCATCCACCTGCTCTGCTATACCTTACTTCATTGGCTGGACTTACTCTGCTTCCCTCCTTCCTCTTCTCTTTCTCTTCCTACCTCCTCCATCACAGCTCCCAAATGATCTCAGGGACACTCAGAATAAAAAAACAGACTTGAAAAAACCACCTAGAAATTCTGGTAGCTCCCTTTGGAGAAAAGCCAAGCTCAGGCAGAGGGAAAACAGCGATTTTATACATTCCTTGGATTAGAACAAAATTAAGGCATCTACCTAAAAATTTTCTCTGGGACCCTGATGAGTTCACAAAGAAATTTAACTGTTAGAACATGACTCTGGCTATTCTGACCTATTCCAATTAAATACACCTACTGGTTTCTGGGAGCAAAGCAACAGAATAACTAAACAGGGTTTTGCTGGGAAACTCCTGTAGAGGAGTCTGTTTTTTTTTTTTTATAGAAAGCCAGGTCACACTAAGAAAGGTTATAGAAAACTGAAATGGATTTAGAAAAAGAAAAGAGCCTTAGCCGGTTTGGCTCAGTGGATAGAGCGTCGGCTTGTGGACTGAAGGGTCCCACGTTCAATTCCTGTTAAGGGTATATGCCTGAGTTGCAGGCTCAATCCCCAGTGTGGGGCATGCAGGAGGCACCCAATCAATGATTCTCAGAATTGATATTTCTATCTCTCCCTCTCCCTTCCTCTCTGAAATTAGTAAAAATATATTTTTCAAAAATTGGAGCAGAATTGAATGAAATAAAGAACAAAAAGACTGTACAAAAAATTAATACAACAAAGAGCTGGTTCTTTGAAAAGATTAGTAAAGTTGACAAACCCTTGGCTAGATTCACTAAGGAAAAAAGGGAAACCCATATAAACAAAATCAGAAATGAAAGAGAAGTCACCACAGACATCACAGATATACAAAGGATCATACTAGAATACTATGAAGGACTATATGCCACCAAATTCAATAACCTGGAAGAGAAATGGATATGTTCCAAGGAATATATACCCTTCCTAGACTAAATGATGAAGAATTGAAAAATCTAAATAGACTGATCAGCAGAGAGGAAATTGGAACAGCCACCAAAAACCTCCTCCCCGCAAAAGTCTAGGACTAGATGGCTTCACCAGTGAACTACACCAAACACTCAAAGAAGATTTAAAACCCATCTTTCTGAAACACGTTAAAAAAAAATTTTAAAGAAGAGGCAGTACTTCCTAATACATTTTATGAGACAAACATAACCCTGATACCAAAATCTGGCAAGGATAACACGAAAAAAGAAAACTACAGCCTGGCTGGTGTGGTTCAGTAGTTGAGCGACAACCTATGAACCAGGAGGTCACAGTTCCATTGCCAGTCAAGGCACATGCCCGGGTTGCAGGCTGAATCACCAGTGTGGGGCATGCACGAGGCAACGGATCAATAATTCTCTTTCATCATTGATGTTTCTAGCTCTCTCTTCCTTTCCCTTCCTCTCCAAAATCAATAAAAATATATTTTTAAAAAAAGAAAACTACAGATCAACATTTCTGATGAATACAGATGCAAGAATCCTAAACAAAATACTAGCAAATAGAATACAACAGTACATACAAAAATAATACATCATGATCAAGTGGGGTTCATTCCAGGGGCACAATGATGGCTCAACATGCAAATCAATCAATGTAATATACCATATTAACAAAAGAAAGGATAAAATCACATGATCTTATCAATAGATGCAGAAAAAACTTTTTGGTAAGACACAACACCCATTTGTGATTAAAACACTCTAATAAAATAGGAATAGAAGGAAAATGCCCCAACATAATAAAGGTGATAGATAACAAATCCTTTCAATATTATACTGAATGGAAAAAACTGAAAGCTTTTTCTTTAAAATCAGGAACAAGACAAGAATGCCTAGTCTCACCACTTTTATTCAATATAGTTCAGGGAATGCTAGCCAGAGCAATAAAGCAAGAGAAAGAAATCAAATGCATCCAAATCAGGAAGGAAGAAGTAAAAGTGTCACTGCCGATGCCATGATTCTGTACATAAAAAAGTAAACCTGAAGACTCCACAAAAAAACTATTAGAAAAAATAAATACAATAAAGTTACAGAATAGAAAACCAATGCACAAAAGCCCACTGCCTTCCACTATGCTAACAACAAAACTTCAGAGAAAGAAATGGAAAAAACAACAACAATGCCTTTTACATTTGTAACTAAAAGAATAAAATAGCTAGGAAGAAACTAAACAAACAATGTCAAAGATGGGGATACTGAAAACTACAAAGCATTATTAAGAGAGACTGAAAAAGACAACAAAGTGGGAAAATATCCCGTGTTCATGGATTTTAAGAATCAACATGGTTAAAATGGCTATATTACCCAAAGCAATATATAGATTTAATGCAGTCCCCATCAAAATCCCTATGTCATTTTTTTTAGTTATTAGAGAGATGTTTTGAATATTTATTGCCCTTGTTCTTTAATAATTTAATTGTAAAGTTACATAATTTAATTTTTAATAATGGCTGCGTTTAACAACTGGCTTGCAACAAAATTCCTGAAAATTGAATAACTGGCTCTCCTGAGCCAGTATAAGCCAGCTCCAACACAACACTGCCCCTGAGCCTCTAGGAGCCTCAGAATTATAGTGTCCACCTTATGACCGAAGGGAGACAGTCTTGGAGGTGCTGCTGGCTTAAATGGGATGTTTGGGAAAGAGCAGGAAAAGAATCTTTAGGCATACTGCCACCAAGGACTGCTGTCCTCACTTAAAATTCAGCTATGCCCTGGTCTCCTTTCTTTCCTACTTCACATTCCATGGAGGCTGTGAGCTTGAAGAGTTTACTTGAAGGATCAGAGAGGAAAAAAGACGTGGGGAAGACTTCAATGCAGAAGGAGCAGGGCCCCAGCCCTAGAGAGGGACAGGGAGAAGCTCAGGTAGAGATAGCCTCTGCCTCTCTGTTCTCATTCATCGACTCAAGAAAAGCAAACTTAGCAGAGTGGCACAGATGCCTTTTATTGGTCTGACCAGCATGACTAGTAGGGGGCATGGGCAGAGCTCCCCTACCTGTCCTGGCTCCCATCTCCCCTCTCCTGGGAGTTCAGGACTCACCCCCAGGGGAGAAGAGTGTCTTAGGCAGAGATGGCAGGCAGAGCCAGGATAAAAAAATAAGGGCTTGGGATTTGAAAGGGGCTCAGGGTGATTTAAATCACCAGAAAACATAGGGTTACCAGGCCATCCAGATAAAATGTCCATCAGGGTACAGCAGACGCTATTTCCCTCACAAGCCCCTTGTCCTTGCCAGGAATGGGAGGGGTCAGGAGGGAAAGCTTCCCTAGAGGCTTCCTACTGTGCCCTTCGTGCCATCAGCATCTCCCAGATGTTGTCCTCAGCTTCCTTCAAGCTGCGCTCCAGGTAGGATTTTTTCTGTTCCAATTCTTTAATTTTTTCCTCTGCTATTTTCTGTTTCTCTAACAGCTGATTGTGAATTACCTCCTTGGACTGAAGAATAAACATTCTTCCTACACCTTCATACATGTTAGTCTCATCTACCAAAGTCATAATCTCTGTATCTGTAAGATGGGCATGCTTTTTCGTTCTGTCTAGCTGTTCAATCTGTATGTCTGCAAGCTTCGCCTTCTGTTGAGTGTCAATAACTTTAGCTTGAAGCTCTGTGAAGGCCTTCTTCAACCACAGATCCACGGGTGCTGCCATCTTGGCTAACTCTCTGCGCCTGCCCCTATGTCATTTTCTAAAATATAGAAAAAATCCTGAAGTTTGTATGAAACCACAAAAGGCTACAAATAGTCAAAGCAATCCTGAGGAAAAAGAATTAAGCCAGAGGTATCACTACCTGACTTCAAATTATACCACAGACTATAATAATCAAAACAGCATGGTATAAGCAGAAAAACAGACACACAAATCAATAGAACAGAATTGAGAGCCCAGATAAAAAAAATCCCATGTAGATGGGCAGATTATTTTTTACAAAAGAGCCAGAAACACACAAATACAATAAAATTTTTGTTCAATTTTCTTTGTCTGCTAATAATATTAGTCATAATAATTATACTTGTTCTTTGGGTTTTTCTTAAACCTTGTGTATATAGCACAACTGTTAATAATTGCTAAAGGTGTTTACAATAACTTTTGCATTATCAATAATGCATTTTTTATGGTTTCTCTTTTGAAATATAGAAGGAATGTTATTGCAAAGGGAAGGAAAGGGATGTATGTGTTTTTAAGAGAAGTTAAAAGGAAATAATTTGTTCTAATAATTTGGTTATTTCTGAATTAGTAAAAGGAGACAAATTAAGAAGAACAATAGGAGTTGTAGAAGGTTAGTGAAAAAGAAATATTGAGAAATGTTATGTATAAACTAGAGGCCTGGTGCATAAAAATTTGTGCACTTGGGCGGGGGCGGGGGCAGCCCCTCAGCCCATTGTGTTCTTACAGCCTTGGCCTCAATTAAACCTTGAGGTTATAGCTTCCAATTGCACAGCTAGCAGAAGTGAGATTAATAATGGTGCTTGAGCCTAGCCAGTGGTTCAGTGGTCAGAGCATCAGCCTACAGACTGAAGGGCCTTGCAGCCAGGGGTCCAGGAGCTGCAGTTAGTCACAGAGGGGGCAGTTGACTGCCCAGCCCTGGGCCCTGCTGGGACTGCAGATTGGATGGAAAGAGAGTAAACTGTGGCTAGGCCACTAAGCCAGGAGCTGATTGCAGGCGGGGAGAGGGGGTGTGGTGAGCAAAGCCGCAGGAGTCTAAGGCTGAGACTCACTGGGAGGAGCATGGCAAGCAACCCACCAGCATCCCACCTGGGAAGTTAGCCCCGATCTGATTCTGTGGGAGGGCGCCACCCATTGGACCTCAGGTCAGTGGAGGGGTCATACAGGTACTCTGATCAGTGATTGTAAGGGACCCTTTACTCTCTAGAGCAGCAGTTCTCAACCTATGGGTCGAGACCCCTTTGGGGGTCGAACGACCGTTTCACAGGGGTCGCCTAAGACCATTGGAAAACACATACATAATTACATATTGTTTTTGTGATTAATCACTATGCTTTAATTATGTTAATTTGTGACAATGAAAATACATCCTGCATATCAGATATTTACATTACAATTCATAACAGTAGCAAAATTACAGTTATGAAGTAGCAACGAAAATAATTTTATGGTTGGGGGTCACCACAACATGAGGAACTGTAGTAAAGGGTCTCGGCATTAGGAAGGTTGAGAACCACTGCTCTAGGGGAACTTTCATAAAGAGCCAGCTGGGGACTGCACAGTGAGGCCCACCTCAAGAGCAGGGGAGGCCTTTCCACACCCTGCGAGATGGC